CCACAGTTTATAAGGGAATAATCGCTGGCGAAAGCTATAAGAACAGAAGTGACAGTTTACTTGACCCAAGAAGGAGGCCTGTTTGAGCAGCTTGGAGCATTTTGACGTACTGACTGAGCTTCTCACGGACCCCGAAAAATGCTCGATCTCCTCGGGAACTGTTACTCGAAATGCAAGTTGGTCAAACAACCATTGTGATTCATTTTTGAACGACCGATTGTATATCCTGACAACGACTTTCTTGGTCGATTTATGGAAAGAATGCTGAGTGAACGAATGTGTAGCGACTCTTCTTTGTCACTCGTGTTTACATCACATTCTTGTTTTACTGAACGCTGACGCGGGTTGCTTCCGCACACATTTCCACCCCGGGTCGTTCAACGCACCGTATCGTCATACGTTCAAATACAGGGGTGGGTTCAAGTTTCTCATACTGCCTTCTGTTACGTTAACGTGCGGCCACTGAGATCACCTAGTCGTATCGAACACGTGTTGAGCGATGTGGGGCTTAACGCTGGTCTACTAATTCGTTTTGAGTCAAACAATCAGGGACGCACGTGGACGGAACAGGTGGTACCTTAACACATAGCGAGAATTTCTATTGCCATTTAAAACCGGTGCGATGAGCGGGTTGCTACACTACACAGCCCCCTTTCATTTTGCCAATCAATGTCCTCCAGAATCAAACCTATTCCGTTTGTTTGCGTTTTGCAAAATCTGATTACGTATCTATGGTAAAACTAGCAACAGCTTCCCCTCCCCCATAATACTATAGTTTAAACTCCGCGTGGCTTCTCACGGATTCTGTTTATTCCCAATGCATAGACAGGTTAATCTGAGTTTCCCCTATTATCAAAGGTGTTCGGACCACAACGGGCTACTTCATGTGAATCGATAGTCAGCTTGCTAAATTTTGTTTCCGTGCTTGGCTTGAGCAAATGCGCGGACGGACAAAGCGACGCACTGAGTCAGTCACTCTGCTTCCCATTAAGGCGGCACTGTGGCCTCTGTAACTGAGACAACCGGGTTACTAACGCATTTGATCCATGCCGCAATTGTTCGGTTCTCTGTTCTCTGTACTTTACGCGATGCACATCAATGGTTTATGCTGTACGTGAATCCAGCACAACTCTGTCGCAGACAGAGGCTTGTCATATACTCTTATCAAATAGTATGGATTTATGGTCATCCCTGTGTGGTCGGGCCTGGTGAAGGGGCGTGAGCGATTGACAAACTATCGCCCCGCCCTAAAAATGTTGTTCACCCCTGTTTTTATCGGGGTGACCTTGCAGATAGTCTAAGCTCCCCTACTCTGCAAGAACCGTGTACAGATTGTCACTTACTACTTGACTGTAGTGAGCCTAGGACACCCCTCTTTGAAAAGTACATGTTTCATTGACAATGACCTTATCTCCTCTGTACGTAGTTTGTTCTCGATTTTACAACACGTAGTTAAAGCGTACGTGCCTCTATTGTCTGTTTGAACAAGTGCTCCCGCGTCTGTTCATCGCAAATAACTCCGGTTAATCGAAGGCAGTGGGTACACCCATCTCGATGAAAAGAGAAGTAACCAATTACTTTCGCATTTGGTACATATGTGTGCATACCTTATGCTATTTCAGGTTTAATTTACGAGACCAGTTCATTGAGCTGGAAAACTATCATGCATAAATCGGTCAAATGAAACGCTATGGTTGAATCTGCTTTGGTTTAGCGCACCTCGTTGGTCAAATGATCCTAGATTTTTCTTTCCCCTAACTTATCACCTGTCTACCGATATTCTTTCTTTATTGAAGTTAAGCGATCCTCAATCTTGCGTAGTGTCGATCTCCCCAAACGGAACGGTGGATTGGTGGCGCAGTGTGATCCCCGCGACACAGTTATGCTGTTTGTGTTTCTGTTGGTGTGTTCTCCAAGCTGGAACACATCAACAACACCAACATCCGCATCCCGAACTACAATCATTCCACACTATTTATAACAGTTATGCTGATCCCAAACCGATCAATACAACTGGTACCACACTGTTTACTGTGAGCCATAGCCAACTGTTAAAGCTGGAATGTTGACGATAGCCCGAGTACCAGAGGTTGCCGCAGGATGTAAGATGAGGAACGAGTTAACTACTTACGGTGTACTTGCTCCGAGTGATGCATCCTTCACAAGGAGATTTACTGAGAGGTCAGAGCAAATGAGCTGATCTCTGGTGACTGGGCTGTTTCTTTTTAATTACTGGTCTAACAAATGCAAACAGGTATGCCTCAACTGTAGTTCGGTCATGATCTAATAATTAGTACGATGTAACGAAGCAGGACAAAGGAATACAATGATTTATTGTAATTCAAAACCTTTGTTATAGATTTAATTCTTGAAACAGCCCTATCCTCGTGCGGGAAAAGCGGCATCCATTTACTTCCAGGTGGAAGACTGCCTGCCAGAAGACATTGTGCTATCTAAGTGAAGATCCAGGTAAGTTTCAAGCTTTTCTGGATAGCTTAAGAGCCTGCGCAGCCATGTTCGTTATGCGTCTTGCACCTTTAAAGTGTAAACTGTTGCTACAAGATTGGGTTGGTCCAGCACCCAGATTCACTCTAACCGGGGAAGTAATAGAGCTAGTGGATAAGTCTTGTTATCTGGGCAGCTACATCTCACCCGGTGAACGCATCACGGATGAAGTGTCAGCTCGCGTACAGAAGGCTCGGTTGGCGCTTGCCACCTTGTGACAGCTGTGGCGCCGTCGCGACATCCGGCTGTCAGTGAAGGGTCGAGTGTATGCTGCAGTAGTTCTGCCAGTTCTGCTATACGGCAGAGAAACTTAGTCATTAAGAAAACAGAATAAAGATAGACTGTCGGTTCTTGGAAGCCGCTGCCTACGTAGCTTTGTACGAATCTGGTGGGGCAACCGGACGAGCAATGCTGAGGTTTGGCGCAGAGTTTTGGGTAACCGCGGTCGCCCACTGGAGCAAGTGATCGACCTCCATAGAGCACCTTGGTTGGGGCATGTTTCACACATGTCACCAAATAGGTTGCCGCTGTGAGCGATGTTAGCCGGGGCAGGTAGCGGTTGGAAAGAGGTCGAGCATGGTCAAACTAAGACCTGGTACGAGGGTATGAAAACCATAACCAGGGGAGTGGGTGACGTGGGTCCCGTTAGGCTCCCTGGATGGGGACCTCGGGATGATCGTACCTGATGGTTAGAGACAATGAGTGTCGTAAACAGTGGAGTTCGTGCATCTTCTCAATTTCCTTGCAGCGCTAGTGCAATGGAATTTTAAATTTTCTCTTTAATCCTACTTTCAACTTTCCTGTCTTCTCCTATTCTTGATCTAACTGGGCAGCCAAAAGACAGCAACCAAAACTGCCGCAAGAAGGTGCATGGTTGTACATGGTTGTACAAACTGAAACTGAAAACTGGAATTCAAAACCGGACGCCCTTTGGCGGAAGAATTTGTGCCATTTAACCAATAGATTTACATTGCGCCAAACACTTTGTCCCCAACTCGCGGAACGAACATGTGATGAAAGATGATGATACGACAGAAATGAACCAAAGTGTGTTCTGGTGGTAGATAACTGGTGGTGATTAGAGTGAAAAGTCGGAGTACAGTTGGTGTATATCGTACAAATCTTTAAAGCTTCTTTCTAGGCGAAATTTTCGGGATAATGATTTCCATAGTACAATGTAGCAGAAAGAAACCAATCAAAGGTTGTACTGATAAACTTTGCTGCATAAATGATCGAACATTAAGCATTTTATAGTAGTAGTTCATATCTACCCGAACGGGCGCGGTACCTGTTTTGAGACAACATCTCGCACAGTTTGGGATGCCCAAGGCTCTGGTCACAAACAAGCGATTGCGTTCTCTGTCGTTGCGTTAGCCGTCTGTTAATCCACGAGAGTTCAAGAGGTACTTAGTCCCGGTTATCATCCAAAATTAGCCGTTTAACAGGGGTACTTTGTGAACCCGGTGAAAAGGCTTCGAAGTCAATTCAAGTCAAATCAATATGATCCGCATGCACCAATGTTGAGTCGTCATTACTGGTGATATTCTGTACAAAATTTAAGTGCAGAACTAAAATGGAAAATCAATCAAATCTTGACACGTAAAGGTAGTTGGAATCAAAGATCAGGATGTGGATCGTCTAACAACTTCATCAAGTCCCCATTTGGCCAAAGCGGATTCTTTGGGGCATTAAAATTTACGGCCCCTTACTATTACATCACCTACATCAGTGAATGTAAAAGCATGAGGCAATTCACTGAAGTATAATGCGATAAGTAACCGGGCGCCAAAGGCACAATGACATGGAAAAACTCAGAAAAGTTACCACGGTGATATACGAAATGGTTAAGATTCGTGAAGCAATCGCATATTATTTATCAAATATCTGGTTTTACCCCCATTTCTGAAAGCATATTCAGCAAGGTGGTTCTCTCTCAAAACAGCCAAATCATTGTTATGGTCAAGAGATATCAGGTGCGCATCCTTTAAATTTTCTATCCAGCGCCAAAGATGTGGAGTATGCCATGTATCGGACGACTCTGCGTGTGGGGCGTGACTGTCTGTCAGCGAACGGGAATCTAACTACATTCACAACCTCGGAACAACAATCGGGGGAGGAGAACTCTCCCCGATACATCTACCATCATCAAAGTAAAAGCTACTGGGCAGTTTTTTCCGGCCCCGTGTTTAGGAATATGCAACAATATTCGACAAATTTGCAACGACGTATTTCTGTGGTGATCGTATAAGGAGTACGCATGCACCGCGGTACAGCTTCCAGATAGCCAATCCAGAAATGGAATAACCGACCAATCCTGTGGTCTCAATTGGCATCAACCAGATTGGCTGAACGCAAGAAGGCAAACAAATAAACGATATCGTTGTCGATCGGACATTCAAGAATCGACCAATAATTGTTTTTTGCTTGTGATATATTTCCATGAATTTCTGAATAGAATTAACTGTATTCACAGCTTTTCTTGGTTCTACTTGACTATGTGCAACTCAGTGGGTTTTCAGTCCGATTCCGAGTTCGCGCTATTCGATTTCGATTCCTATTCAGAATACCACAATTGGCGTCGCGCAATGGAAATTCCTGTCACTGAACAACTGAACCTCCACGGAAGCCCACCGGAAATCGAAGAGTGGGTAGAACGTTTTGAACTATGGTGCAGTATCCTCAAAGGAGGAATGCAAAATCAGTCGGTCCCGTTTTTTGACGTTGAGCTATATCCCCTGGTGAAGAATTTAGCGTCCCCGAATGTTCTTGCTAAATTGCCGTTCGAGAAGTTAAAATCCTTATTGCTGGATCACATTCTCCCAGTGGATTTTCAGGCCACTGAACGGGCCAAATGATCAGAGCTGTCAACATGCCGTGCCGTGAATTTATCCTTCAGTTGAATGAACAGGCGTCAAAATGCAACTACGGTGATCGATTGGAAGAAGAACTTTGTGATCGTCTGATTGCTGGAATTAACATTTCATTACAAAGTAAGATGTTGAAAAAGAAAGATGTCACGTTTGCCGAGGCTCGAAAAATCTGTGAGCAGAGTGATGATTTGTGTGCTACCACAAATGCGGATAGTCCTGTGTTATTCCATCGGCAATCAACGAAACTATTACGTGACGCACCCAATGTTCATTATACAAGCCCGGTTCCTCAAGTACCCAGTTCAAGCCGAACGCAACCGAAGGCTGCGACCAACCGCTGCTTTCATGTGGTGAATACCACTTGTCGGTTCCGTAATGCCACTTGCCATGCATGCGGTAAGGTTGGCCATATCCGAAAGGTATGCCGCATGCCCAAGTGCAACCTCATCGACTCACATATCCCAACGATAGATGAAAACCCAAGCCCAATCTATACGTTACAAACCACCGAACCCAACAGCCAAATCGTGTTCGCCCCACTGAGGTTCGAGTCTGGTGTGGAGCAGCGATTCATTATGGACACAGGAAACAGCGAATCTATCCTACCGAAATCAGCACCCATTGCGATTTATCCCAACGCTGTTCTAGCCCCGACTTCTTCTTCTTCTTCTTTTAGAGACAGTGGGCATAGTCCCGTATAAGTCTCCTCTCCGAAGCTCCGTGGCATGACTCAAATGTGCGTGTCCTGCCACCACCTCCACAGAAAGTCGTATAACCGACGCTTGAACGTTTGGTCATTTTTCTCCTCCTCCACGTCTTCCGGTAGCATATTCCACATACTGATCTCCCGACGAGATAGACGGTAGACCAGCGGTAATCCTACCGTGTGCTGCTTCGCTAGGGTCAGTCCGTGTCCCCTGGTACGGTTGTGCTCTCGAAACGGAAGCATCGCCTGCAGTTCGCAACCCAGGTCTCCGCGGATGATGCGTCTCGTGTAGATTAAATCGATTCTCATCCGCCTGTAAGCTAGTGGAAACAATCCCGTAGCTCGTAGGCGTCTTTCGTAGTTAATCCTACGTTGCCCGGCAACGAGGCGTGTGGCACTGCATTGTACTCGTTCCACCTTCTGCGATTGTGCCTTAGTACATGGAAACGACGCAGGGCCGTCGTGCTCCAATCTCGGGCGCACATGTGAGGCGTACAAAACTTTGAAAGCACTCATAGAAAGTTCACCAAGAGACCGCCGTATGGCTCCCAGCATTCGCCAGGCCGACGCACATACCCTGTCAACCTGGTCTTTAGGTTGGAAGCCACGATTACCCCCAAATCCTTTTCGCAAGTTGATGAACGAAGAGGGTTTCCGTTTATGGTGTACTCCACGGTGCCTTCTGTTGGACCCACTCGCATGTGCGCACACTTCGAGGTGTTGATTGGCAGAGACCATCTCACGGACCAGCGCTACAGGGCTATCAAGTCTTCCTGTAGAGCATAGGCGTCATCATCCGAGGTGACCACCCGTCACAGCTTGAGATCATCAGCGTATATTAGGCACTGGGA